CTGGGGGGACAGGGGCATTGGGGGTGTGTGGGGGGGTGTCTGATTGAGCCTCCATGGTGAGGGAGGGGCAGGGGCAGGTGCCGCCCTGGGAGGGGGCTTGTCTGGGAGGGGGGCGTCCCACTGCTGTACACACCCCCAGGGGAGGCATGGTAGGCAGCTCTGGTTGGGCAGCCCCAGCCCCACTACCTCTCACCACGGGAGCCTCAATCTGCACCCCCCTCCCCGACCCCAACAAACTTACCAGCCAGACACAGCTCTCCAAGCTGCCCAGCTGCATATTGGCAACCAGATCAGTATCAGCAGATATGGTTTGTTAATAATTGGCATGAGCCCAAAAAATCTTTATTGGTGCACCCCTAGTAGGCCAAAAGTTGCTTGACTTTAAAGGAAGTTCTGTGTGGATCAGCCCTTTGTTTGTAAAGTAGCAGCTTTCTCAGAAGCTAGTAGAGCAGATCAAAACTCTCAATTTGTTTTATCAAGAAGTTTCAAAACTGCTTTTCAGACCAGTAGAGTGGGACTGGGCGGGTCCTACTGCACAACTACTGCCATGTCCTGAAATAGCAGAAGTGAAAGCCTTTAAGACAGAACTTTTTTCCCCAAACAACCTGTTTTGTAAATGCCAGCCTGACTTTTTGGGGGAAATGCTAGTAGTGACCCAGCTAATGACATTCTCCTGAACCTCCTTTGTGCAACAGTGCTGTTTAATGACAGTGTTGTGATCAGCTGGAGCTGCCGTGGCTCATGCTCTGCATTTCACAACAGTGGAGCCTCCTATCTGCTATAAGGTTCACTTGAGCCTCCTTCCTCACCACTGGAAACCCAGAGAGAAGGGAACCGAACTCCCGAGAGTCAGACTTGTTGCTTATTGCAGGTGCTCATTGCTTAGTACTATATATGGCTTAAAGCATAGTTCTGAACTCAGTGCAGAGAGGCAGGGTTTATTCTACTAAGCTGAGGAGGAATCTGAGTACCTCCAGTGCTTGACTTCTTCCTGGGCAGCATCCAGACCCCTCCACACAATCAAACATCCTGCTGTTTGCAGAGCCAGTGCAGCGTTTGCTTTTCGTTTCCTCCTGTTGTGGACTTGGCACACCTCGGTATCTGTGAAGCGGTTACTGGAAACTCTGTACTCATTCAGTCCTTTGCCATGTGTTTAGGTGACAGCTGGAGTTCTGAGCCTGACTTGAGAAAACAGGAGGTCGGCTAAATGAGGCCTGCGAGAGAGGCTACTTTGTTCTTTCCTAGTTCTTCATTATTGTTTCCAAGACTGGGCTAGAAAGAATTTTTAGCTTCCTTCACTTTCCTATATTGGTAGAATCCTTTGTTTAAAAGGAACAGTATACAAGTGGGGAAGTAGGATGGCCTTCTAGAAAGCGTAACCAGATGGGTAGGCATTCACACCCACCCTTGATAGAAAGACTAGCACTAGCTCTGGCACTACTGTGCACATGGCTGTCCTGTCTTGCAGGCCACACAGACTTCTGGCATGTGAAGTGGGTCTTGTTACTGTTTAGGAAGTTATGTACTAATTCATCAGCATTTCTAAGCAATGCATTTACATCTCATTGCAGCCGCCTGGACAAAGGTTTGGCCATGCTGGTCCGGGAGCGGAAGACGGACTTGGTTATAATTGAAGGGATGGGCCGTGCTATCCACACAAATTATTACGCAGCTCTGAAGTGCGAAAGCCTCAAACTCGCTGTCATCAAAAACTCCTGGCTGGCTGAGCGGCTGGGTGGGAAGATCTTCAGTGTCATTTTTAAGTATGAAGTGCCACGTGAGTGATGGGGTCCAGCGGACTGAATCCACAGCAGCAGCAGGAACGGACTTGCACTAGTTTTACTTTAATTGTAAAGAATGTATTTTTATTACAACAGGGAAAATGAGTTCACATGAAATTCCATATTTATATTGTGCTTTTGTGACTTAAAGCAACAATATGATTCATTATATAAAATATACACCCCAAATATATATGTATATCACTCATTGTTTATTTTGGTAAGTGTTTATTTTAATGCTGCAGTATTTGTGATGAAAAGACTTTATTTTTTGTTCTGTGAGACATTCATATAGAAATATATTTAAATGTCAATGAAATCTTTTTTATACATCTCTGCCTGCCATGCCAGCAGTGACTTGGCACATACCAAATAGAGTTTTTAAAGTGCTGAAAGCGTTTGACTTTGCATTTTAATATTTGAATTCCTGAAATGTTTCTCGCCCACTTTTTGAGCTCTCCCCAGTCTGGTCAGATGGAGCAAGTTGCCTTCTAACCTGGTGAATACTGCTGAATGAATATAGGGACCAAAAATAACTGATCCAATATCCAGTGAGGGTGGCAGATGGGTAAATATCAGGATCACTAACTTGCTGTAGCAGTTAGGCAATTCCTACTTTCCCCACATTTACAGCTGGATTTTTCTCTTCTTCCCAGAGTGATCAGGAAACCACAGTTTCAGAATGAAAGCACAGTTGGTCAGTTTGTAAGTAATTAACTTTTATTTCGTTTCAACTGATTCACATCCTCTGTCACTAACAAAAATGCTTGAAGCAGAATAGCTACCATTACACTGGTGGCAGACTTGTATAGTTTGGTTTTAAAGGCAGGTGCTATTCTGCTTTTAGCTCTACTACAAATTGCCCACGTGTGAGTTCTCTGATTTTCATTTTGGCCTTAGCACGTTGCTTCAGTCTTTGGGGGGCAAACAGGAAGTCTTAACAGTTGCTCCTTCCCATGGACAGGGTGCATAATTGCACAGGAAATGCCAATAAACCAAAAGGGGAATATGAATCATTAACCCTCCTCCTCACTATTGTCAGCAGAAAGATGGAGATCACCCCTCACTTTAATTTCATTAGTTCGAGGGTGAAATAGAGAATGCATGCAAAGCAGCTTATGTATTTAGCTGAAAATATCTAGGCTAATAATTGGCATTATGCACTTACTGAAATGAGATCCCAGCACCTCAGAATATCCCTTATTGTCTGAAATAAGTGTTAGTTACCTGGTGCAAAAATACTGTCTTGGTGCTAAAGACATCTGTGTATAATAGAAGGCCCTCAAGCTACAGAGAGGAGTGTTTTAAAATGTTAATGAAAGTGACTGTGCTGCTCTAACCCTTCCCAGACTAAATCCAAGTACAGCTAGTAAATTATAAAGCTTCACACTCAATATTGTGATGCACATGAGGCTGAGAACCAAGAAGATTGGCCAAGTCCTCATTTTCAGCTTGTCTGGTCTGCTAAAAGGCAGCCAAAACATTGGGAATCCAAGTAGTAGGTAGGTAGGTAGGGAAATCTATTAACCTTCCATCTTATAAGATACATTAGTGAACAAGTGACTCTTAAAATGGGCAGAGTGATTTCAGAACTAGATTATCTGAATATGCCCACACTGCAGTCAGGTCACAACCATGAAAACTCAGTGATACAGGCTTCAGCGTTCTGTGTATATACCCACAATCCCCAGTGGGTTTGGACAGCTCAATCACAAGTCCACAGCATACAAGCTGGTGTTGAGGTTTCTTTGTGCTGCTGTCTCCCACGCCACATCCCTCACTCCCCGTCTGAAAGGACCATGCCAGCATGTGAACCATGTGCATTGTCTGCGATCCTGAACCTGCCATTTTACAGAGGTTACCAGATAGCCATGAGATCTTAAAGTCTTTCAAACATCATTGCTTAGGTTGGATTTAATACTCTAGCTTCTGGAGCCTAGTTGCAGTCCACTTAGCCATTTAATTCTCTGTATCCAGTTCTTCCATCATTGTAGACACTGACCATTGCTATTTATTATAGGAAAATTATGCTCTAGGCTTATAGATGTAAGGCCATTACAGAAAGCTCATTCAGAGAACTGGCTAGTATTGAATATATAGAGCAGGAAAGAAATAAACTGACCCCGCTCCCTAGTGCTTCTTAGGGTTTAATCTTCTCTGGGTTCTCCCGGTTCTGCCTTGCTTCTTCTCTTATTCTGAACCGTTGACTTATTTCCTCTGTGAAAATGGAGCAGCATGATCTCTGAAAAATATGAAAGCAAGAGAAGGGGTAGTTGTTCCACATGGCACTGAACAAGTCTGTTTTAGATGCAAGGTGGGCTGGGGAGCAGCAGGCTCGGTTCCAAGCCCAAACTGCAGGAGCTGTTCTGCATTTTATGTACACGGTCCTTGACTTATCACCATATTTTTTTAGACTCTGCCAGTATTTTAGCACAAGCTGACCACCAAAAGTAGGAAAAAAATGGGAGCGCTGAGAAGACTGTCCCTTTATGCCAGCATAAGCAGGGTGATCCCACTAAAATTAGCACTGATTTGAGTTCATCCCCCCTGCACACGCAGCCTACTGGAAGGCACATTGATACTAGCTACAGGAAGAACCATTTATTTTTCACTTCCTCCAGTTGATTCCCTATCTGAATTCATAACCCGCTTCCATTGCCACACAAAACAGACAGTGGAAATTTGTAGCAGATCACTTTCACTGGGAAATAAACAGCAGAAGACTACTTCCTGGAATAAAAATCCCACTTTTGTGCTAAGATCCTTAGTAAAAAAGGAAAGGCAGGAGGCAATGTGTTGCCAAATCAAATATTTCCGACCAGGAGAAGCCACTGACTCCTGTCCATCTGGCATTTCTTTTGGCTGTAACAATGAGCAACCTGTACGTGGGTGATCTAAGTCCACTGCATGAGAATGAGACGGTGAGGTTTCACTGTGTTACTTACCTTCTTCTGCTCAGCTGTACTTCTACTCTTGTTTGACAGCTCTACCACTGCCACAATCACTCCTAACATGAGGCCAACAGCAAGAACCAGGAACAGCCCACCCAAGGCTTGGGGACCCAGGGGGCTCCATCTGTCTTGTCCTGTGTGGAGGCAGCTGGTTTCCCACCACTTATTACGTAGGTAGTCAAGATCACCCGATTCACTCAGCTTCAGGATAGCAATGGACAGCTTCCTGGCCAGTGGAGATCCTGGGGGTGGCAGGGAGAAACAAAGTGAATAATCATAGGACTCCAGCATAGATTAACTTAAGCAGTCTACAAAGAACCCACTAACAAACTGGATGATCATATGACTGCTGTCCAGCTGAGCAACTTTCAGACCACTCTGAAAGAGGCTGCAGCAAGCTAAAATAATGTTAAACCTTGTTATTTTAAAATGGCCCCACTGCAAACAGGGCATGACTTCAAACTGAGGAATAAGCTACCTGTTGACTTCTTATACAGCCACCCCATCCTCCTGCCAGTGGCCCTAACATAATAACTAGAATGACACAGAGAAAGGCAGTACCAGAAATACAGTCAGAGCGCAACCTCAGCACCTGTCAGCACGAGAGTGCCACAAAGCATTTCCAGGAGATGGCGGCAGTCCTCACACCGTTGATCTTTAATCCTCTCAATGCCCCAGCAACGAGCTGTGCTGTGATCATGGAAGGATTTAACCAACGGCCCGTTACTGGCAGGGGCCTCTTTACCTTGACTGGCACGAAGAGCACGGATCAGAAAAAAAATGCTCTTGGGAAGCTGCAGCTGTTGGCGGAAGGACTGTCGATGCTGCAGCAAGTCACTGCATTGCCTTCTTGTTAATCTTAAAACAGCAATGAGGCGTATGTTATTCTGAGAGGACCTGAACTATTGCGGTCACTGTCCCATTTCCTGTGCGCTGTGGAAGAGCCCTGACAGAAAATGAGCACCTCTAACTCTTGCTGCGAAGAGCTGAACAAAAGCAGAGGTGGAAACTCCGTTGCAGACACAGCCTCACCCTTTGCAGTGGCAATGCCGTAGCCTCGTGCTCCAATGACTTCAGGGGCCTTGACCAAATTGCAGTGCCTGGCTACCATGAGGTCTTGAGAGACTGATTCCCCTATGAAGGCATAATTCGATTCCACTGCACGTTGAATAGCTTCCTGGGAGTTTTTGACTAAAACATAATCTCTTCTCTTGTCTACGTATTCATAGACCATCTGGTGGATGGGGTTCTTGGAGTTCTGCAACACGACAGGAGAAATATCAGGCATAAAACTCAGACCTGAAAAGCTGCAGTGCTTTAGAGTAATAATGTGCAGCAAGTGCAGAAGTACTGCATGGAGAAGACTGTTTAAACCTTCTCCCTCTGAGCTCCTGTCCTGAAAGTGAGAATGCCATGCTTGCTTAGCAAGTCATCCTGGCTCTCAAGCGGTGGCAATGGTTTCATGTAAAACAAAGTGTCTGGGCAGATCGGGGATTTGTAACTTGTGACAATTAAACACCAGCCAACATCTGAGAAGGAATGAAGTTTCCTAGCTCAGTCCTTATCTTCGAGGTGCTCCGTGACCTGAGCCCTGGGTTTCTAAGAAATCGCCTACAGCTCTAAGACAAAGCCTGGGTCCTGTGGTGTAGCATTACCCTGCAATAAGGATAAAAACTTGTGTGTGGGAAATGGGACTTCCTTGGGGGCTGGCCTGCAATCAACAGAATAAGGAGCGTTAAAACCCTCCCCATCTTCCACTCCAGCCTCCTCTAACAAACATGTAGTGGAAAAGGTAGTTAGCCTCACTATTCTGAAGTCAAACAGGCAGTAACATGGCTATTCTAAACCCCACCAGACCAAGACATCCCCCACTACACACGTCTTCCACAGAGAAGATGGGAAAGAACAAATGCCACAAGAAATGCTAGCAATATTGTATAACGCACTACTAGGAGATGCTCAGAAACCACATGACGAGAGTGGTATAAGGACCCATATAGGACAGAGAAGCTGAAGGAGTTAGTCGCAGTGTTAGACTCTGCACATCAGCTCAACCCCATGTTCTTGGGGCATCACCTAGATGATCCGCACCTTGAAGAAATGAAATGTGGAGGAACCATCTAGCATCCCATACTGGATCTCTCTCTGTTTCACGAGGTCTTCAAACGTCTGGATCGGGAGCTGATCATTCCCAGAGGTGAGCAGAGCGGTGAAACTGGCCACGTAGGCAGCCAGCAAAGCGATCGTGAACGCCCACCAGACAGCAGTAATGATGCGCACAGAGAGTGCCTTGGGCTGGTGGGCTGCCCCTGCGGGGATCAGAGACCCTCAGCGGAAGGACAATGCAAGTGTTTGATTTGCGCAAAGGGGGGCTGAGGGCCATAAGCTAATCAGACCCTGGGCCCAATTTTAAAGCGCACACAATTTGCCTGACAAATGGCCCCTGCACATCCCAGCACAGCAACCTCAGCTAGCACATGAGCACTGCACAGTGGCACAGCTGTGCCGAGCTGTCAGCATAGCAGAAAAGGCAGCCAAGGTGAGTGTCAGCTGCCACAATATCATCATCATCACATGGGTTGTTTCTACCTCAAGGTCTCTTAAAGCCACCCCACATTAAAGCAAGCTTCCTGCATGCTCCAGCCCAGAGATGTATAGCCAATGCCCTTGTAATGGGAAGATCCTTGGGGAGAGGGGAGCTCTGAGCATGGCTAGGCTCCCTGGCTTCAATATACGTCTAATTGCACAAGATGGTCCATAAAATACAATGGGCTGGGCAATAAACAGCCAAGCCCCTGGCAGACACAGGTCACACCAATAGTTCCTCTTGCAGCTGTTAGTTACATCGTACCTTGCAGGGTAAGAGCCCCTGCTCCAAACCAGAGGCTGTTCAGGCAGGTGAAGCGATTCTCCTCGTTCCCAGGCTCATTCCACTCGCAGGGGCTCAGTCTGCAAGAAGAAACCCAACGTATCAGCGGTGCATTTCTCGTCCCAGGACCAGTGGGCAGGAAAGCCCAATTTGGCTAGAACCCGTGTCGTCTCATGGGTGGGGAGAGCAGCTGGTGGGAGAAAGTGCCAAAGAGAAGCATTTGTACCTGGCCGCGAGGAACAGGCAGAGGCAGGTCAGCAGGTAAGCGATAAGCAGGCCAGTCCACGCCTCCTTGCTGAAAGGAGCCAGGAACTGGAAGAGCGAAGTGCCCCGGGAGGCCGAGTCCCTCCGGAGCATGATCCCAATGCCAGTCTGCAGGAACGGTGTAGAGAAGGATACCACCTCCTCCCTCGCTGCTGTGATGGTTAAGGGAGCCACCGCCAGGTCGG